GGCTGGCATGAGCAGAATAACGTCAATGTATGTGATATCGTTATCCATTTGGAAGCGCGAGATGATTGCCATAGCCGCTGTGATTTGTGCCGTCGAGCTCCCAATTAGCCCGATCGCGTATGACAGAACTCTGAATAGCATCTGGCCCTTTGGTCTCAGGTAGTGTGGTTCGGCTGTATCTGCCAGGACACCTTCCCAGCCATTGCGCCGGATCTCGGAAATATTCTCGAGTATAAATACAGTCCGCGACAGAAGCGATTGATTACTGCTGCCTGTATTCTTCTGGCCACCGTCGTTGGAGCAATCAACTGCCCAATCTATAGCCTTGCAAGCAATAGAGTAAACCAAAGTCACCGACACTGGAATAGCAACATGCCAGCCGATGACGCCTGTGATAAGATACAGGTTGTACGCTTCTGCGACTATCCGAGGAAAACACGCAACGAACGATGCAGCTCGGGTAATAAACATGTCCGAATGGAGGTAGACCCAATCTTGCATTTTCGCATTGCAGCAATGCTTGTGCTGGAGCACAGCAGTATCCACAGCAAGCTGAAATGACCTGTATATGGCCCGCAATTGCATTGCAATGAATCTGCGCAACATGCTTGTTTGGGAAAGAGCCAAGAGGAAAATAGCCTGCACTGGCTGTATATTTGCGCTGCCTAGTACATGTGCGAGCACCATTCGGCGATGGTGCATCCCTATCTGCGCCAAGGCATCGATGACAGAGAGTGCTAGGACTGGCATCCAGACAACGGTCAATGCTGTCCAAACTGCCTCCCACCTACAAGGTGACTCTGCGATATTCAGTTTATACCGAAGGAAACATTGCCCAGTGGGCACACCAGGATTGAATATTGCCAGTACATTGAACTATTCACTTACCCCTTTTCCTGACCAATGTGGATTTGTCGCCGCCTAAAAGTTCTTCGCGAACCGACCAAAAACGCAGCGCAATCCACGCCAATGATCCATTCCCACATACCAGGCGCAACAAGCGCCCACGCCAAATATGCATGCAAGAGTACGAGTATTGTTGTCTGCCACAACGTGACTTGGATCCCTAACCCTAGTAAATGAACTGCTTGCGCCAGGTGTGCCAGCACTGCCGCCCAGTGTGGGTCCGAGCGCAGCGACGCCATTGCCAAAAGCACTGAAGCCGATGACCCAGAGAGCACACTGTGTTCTACCAGAAAATATGCAGAGACTATGGTCACCCGCCGCCAGTTTCCGGATATTCCGGATATCCAGGATGGCACATCCCCTAGGCTAGCCAGTGACAGGGCAGTGACGCTCAATTCTATGAAGCGGGGTATCGAGAGCGACATTTTCACCACTGGTAACGTTACTTTTGAGTGGGAGTGGGATACAAAAAGAATCGAAAAAGCACAGCAGAGAGAAGATACAGGAAAGGGGGAAGACGCTGCGCTCATTCTCTTTGTCAACGCTAGGGCACATGGCATGGTAGACTTCATATTGTCGTTAGACTCAGGGTGAATGCAGCGACTCTCTTGAGAAACTCGCGCAGCAACTTGGAAAAGCTGCTAGGCGCAGGCAAGCCCCCCTTCCTCAGGAGATCCTGGCTCAGGGCCGAGGTTAATCCGCCATGCGCGATCGAGGAACCAGCAGCGGGAAATCAAATTCTTGCCGTCATCTGCCAAGGATATATCGGCCAAGCGGCCAATATCACCTTAAACCGCTCTTGCCACACAGCATTATTTTTTTTTTCACCCTTCTTCTGTCAATTACCACACTGCAATGTTCAGAACTGTTTTGCAAAAGGGACCGGCGTTGCGCGGCGTTGCGCGGCAGCTAGCTGGACGGACGTACATGACAAAGGCAGAGTCGCAGGAACTCTTTGAGAGAATTAACAACTTTTGGTTTGGAGGTAAGCAAATTCTCCCTCGCTCAGCTCAGAACCCAACTAAAACGACCTGACACACAGAAGGCAACGGGCTAGCAAGCTGACATAACGAAAACGAGCAATATCTTTGTTGTGTGTAGAGTCAGATAAGCTGCATGACGCTGGCCAAGTCAGCTTCCAGAAGTGGTGGTTCCAGCCGAACAGCAAGGTAGACGCCGAGATCAAGAGCGAGTTCGGCGCAGCACACTCCAACGTCATCAAGACAAAGGAGCACGTAGACATGGCCAAGGAGACCCCCGAGGGCACGCTCTCCATGATCATTCTTCTGGACCAGATGGGTCGCAACATGTACCGCGGCCAGCCCGAAGCCTACGCCGGCGACCAGATCGCCCGCTCCCTGGCCATGTACATGGTACGGCGCAAGTTCCACGAGCAGCTCAGGCTCGTCAAGCAGTCGTTTGTCTACATGCCGCTGATGCACGCCGAGGATATCGAGGCTCAGGATCTCAGCGTCCAGATGTACACGGAGCTGGCTGAGCAGCTCCAGGCTCCGGATGAGGATGCCAAGAATACGGGCTTTGCCACTTTTGCCGAGATGCACCGTGATGTGATCAGGGAATTCGGCAGATTCCCGAGCCGCAACGCTGCCCTGGGCCGTGAATCCACGCCCGAGGAGCTCGAGTGGCTGAAGAACGCTCCCTTCTAAGCCACGTATCTCACTATTATCCGCCTGGTTTCAGGTCTTCCTCTCTTTTGCCGTGTGCACAATACAATAAGCTCCAAACCTCCTTGTTTCGTTGGACCAGAGTTTATTTTCCGAATGTGTCACACTCTACCGACACCCTTAACTTTTGATGGATTGCTTGCCGGCATGGCCAGTGAGAGGTGTCGCGGACCGGAGGAGAGAGGCAGAATCCCATATATAAAATGTCAGCCTTCGCCCACCGCCTTTCTCCAATTTCAGCACTTGCCCCTCACTCTTTGCCAAGACACCTTTTCACAACCATGACCGGATACAACAGAAACTATAGCGACCAGTCGTCGCGCCCCAAGACCAACGTCTACACGGACGGAGCCAGCAGCAACAACGGCAAAAGCGGGGCGCGCGCCGGCTACGGCGTCTTCTTCGACCACAACGACCCACGCAACGTCTCGGAGCCGCTCCAGGGACCTCGCCAGACCAACCAGCGCGCCGAGCTGACCGCCATCCGCACCGCGCTGGAGCGCACTGACGGTGATGTGGTGATCCATACGGATTCAAAGTACAGCATCGAGAGCGTGACCAACTGGTCGCGCAACTGGGAGAACAACGGGTGGAAGACGAGCTCGGGCAAGCCGGTGCAGAACCAGGACTTGATACAGGATATTCTGGACTTGGCCCGCAACCGCAACGGCACCGTCGAGTATAACCATGTCAAGGGACATTCGGGCCATCCTGGCAATGATGCCGCCGACTTCCTGGCCACCCAGGGAGCGAAGATGCATGATAATTAGTTTGTATTTCTTCAATATCGAAACTTTGCGTGAGGTGTGGTAGCTAGCAATATATGACTCTGAAACCGAGACATTTGGGGATGTGACTGGGAACAGCACGGGTTTACGAATACATTGCCTGGATGACACCCGCAGATCCCAGCTTGAGATCTCTGAGCGGCATGCTCGCAGGGTCGAGGGAGCGGCCCAGATGAAAGAAGCGCACACGTGCATTTGGCGGCACGTGATGCTCCTCCTTCAGCTCCCTCTCAACGGCAGCAACAGTTGTATCCAAGCCCATCTTCACCGACACATCTTTGCCTACTGCCAGTCTCACCGTGACCTCAGTCACTTGGCCTGCCACGGGAACCCCTACCAAACTGGCATTGCCCGCCGACGATGCCAGCGACACGCCATCCGCCGACTCCCCGCTCTTCTTCCCCTGCCAGTACCCTCCCACACTAGTGCCCACCGACGGTGTCCCCGACAACCCCCTGCTCCTAACCAAGTTCCTTGGTTTACTCAAACAGTACCTGGGCACGACATAGCACGCGCCGCGCTCATCATACACGCCATCTGCCACCCGTCCAGTCGGCACCGAGACCCCGGCACTCTCCAGAATCACTGCGGCCATTGTAGAATCATCTATTTCGCACGCCAGCCTTACTGCCTGCCAGATTTCAGCTCTCCCCTCGTATGCTGGCGCCGTGTCCCAGAATGCTTCTCGCTGTTGCAATAGTTCACTTTCCGTTATTGGGTGCTCCGACGCCCAGATATCTGAATGCCCGAAATCTATTCCCTCGCCGGCTGCTTGCTGCCGCCGCCGCCCTCGCTCTCGCCGATGGCCGGTAGTTATAATAGGCCCGTGCGCCGCTGTGCTGTGACTGGCACCGGCTGCATTTCTTCCGGTGGACTCGGCTGTGGAACTACCGCTGCCTGACCCTCCCTGTATACCCGCTGCGCGCGTCTGCGTTGTTGTTGAAGAGAGACAGCCCCCCATTTGTCCGAAATGTGCAATGTGCCCCTGAAAATAAAAGAAAGCCTTAGCAGTGTGTATGCGGGGGCGAAAAAAAAAAAAAAGAAGAACTGACAAGGAGCGAGAATAAAGGAGGCGGAGGGGGGAGTATATTCTCCCTCCTCACCCCACAAGCCTGCCAACAACGGAGGGATTTCCCGCCTTAATTATACTTTGCAAGCCAACAGAAATTGCCCCCTGCCCACCTTGGAATCCATGCCAATTCGCCGAGGTCGAAACAAGTAAAAAAGACGTGCCATCTGGACCTTCCCTATTCATGAAGCACGGCGATTTTACATAGTGCCACTTTGTCTCATATCCTTTTGAGGGTTACTCATGATACATGTCTCGTGCGACAAACACTGCTGCAAAATGCGAGGCTGCTGGTTCCTCAATGGCGAGCCAAGCATGATAAAATACACCATCTACCCATGCGCTCGCGTTTGGCTTGCTGATACATCAGGCACATTGCAGGGGAATGTTTATACTGTCAGCCACACTAAAAAACAATCGCATAATAAAGCGACAAGTAGACCCTCAGAACTTGTCAAAGAGTATCCAGCATAATTGCATATTCTCTATCCTCGCTACCACTTCTCGTGGCAAAAAAATATTCACCATGCAACAGTAAGCATAACAAAAAGATGACCCCAACGAGGATCGAACTCGTGACCTTTGCCGTGTAAAGGCAACGTAATAACCACTATACAATGGGATCATAGCATCTGAACCAATATGGAGACCAGACCTTCGAATTTTCGAAAATTTAGCAGGTAGCCGTAATAACGTGGTTTGTATCAATCGGCACATATTCAACATCATTTGCGTGGTTCATGCACGCACACACCAACCTAAACGTCCATCCATCGTGATATATTGATATTCTATGCCGTAATTTTTAACAGTTTATTGTAAACACCAAAAATACCCTATATCTAAATAACCTCGTGGAACGGAGCAAGAACTCCCTTCGTCTTTGGATATTTGCGCAGCAGATACTCTTTGGTCAGTTTGGTCTCGCGAATGATGAATGTAAGATATTCCGAAGCCCGAGTGAAAAAGCACATAACCATTACTTGCACCGCACGTATGTCCTATGTTGGGACCACCGCAACTTTCAATATTCCTTTCGACCAGAATTCGAACGTTGACGAGGGCGGGTGCTGCGTGAGCAGTAGCGTTGGTTCCGCCAACGATGCATTTCTCGATGCTGTCACGGACCACGAGTCCGTAAGCTCCGGACAGTAGACTGTCGGTGAGGAGTATATTCAAGAGTAGATAAAAGCTCCTCTTTCTTTTTTTTTGAAACCGATTGAGTCGAAAAGATGCTGATGATCTCTGATGAGGGTAGCACAGAGCGAATGCTATATACCCCTAGCCGCATGGCAGTTGTTTGGAAATAGCACTAATCATCTTCACTTAAACCACACACCGTATAGAGCGTATGAAAACGATATAGATAGAATTTTCGCACATATCCAAACATGTCCTCTATTTCATGTATTTAGCGAGTGTTTTATTTCTCAAATGCACGTTTTAGACAAACTTGTAAGAAATAATGAAAGAGCTAGAGCAATCTCCTGTCAACAGGCCGTACTGGCCAACGATCTTCCTTAGGGGGCTTAGTACCTCCATGAGGACCGCCGGGACCAACTGGTTTTTTGGTTGGCTGGGGATTGTTTGTAACAGGCGGCTCTGGTGAGGTAGTCTATTGAGTTTGTGCAGGACGGGTGGGGGAAGGAGGCGAAATAGGGCGGGTATTCGCTGGTTTAGTAGCCTTTGCGGCAGGCCGAGAAGTTGGTTTATGCTTTGTAGCCTTTGCGGCAGGCCGAGAAGTTAGTGTATGCTTTGTAGCGCTTACCGGGGGAGAAAAGGGAACACTACTTATATCTGCCGGCTGTGTGGCAGAGGTCGGACTAGTAGTGGTCGAAAGATGAGGAGGAACAAGGGCAGTTGTCGAGCTAGGCTGAGTATTTGGTGCGGGAGTTGTTACACTTGTCGGTGAAGAAGAGGGAGCGTCGGTTATAACTGCTGGCTGAGTGGTAGTGGTCAGGCTGGTAGTGGTCGAAAGATGGGAGGGACCAGTTGCAGTTGTCGAACTAGGCTGAGCTGGTAGTGTACGCATTGTAACACTAGTCGGAGGAGATGATGGTGCACTACTTATATCTGCTGGCGTTGTGGTAGGTGTCAGAATAGCAGTGATCGAACTAGGCTGAACAGTTGGTGTGCGCGTTGTAACACTTGTCGGGGAAGAAGAGGGAACGCTGCTTGTAACTGCTGGTGTTGTAGCAGAAGTCAGGCTGGTAGTGGCTGAAAGATGAGAGGGATCAGAGGTAGTGGTCGAACTAGGTATAACACGGGAGGTGTGAGATGCGGTTACGCTGCCATCATGGCGCGTTACGTCCGAGATGTTGGACTGAGGAGAAGCAGTGCTAGTTGCCGTGCCAGTTACACTACCAGCTGAAGTGGTTGGAGAAGAGTCAGTCTGGTGGATTGGAGTGTCATGAACCGAAGTATCACGATTGCCATCATCACCATCATTAACGTTGCCTCCGTTGCCTCCATTGCCTCCGTTGCCTCCACCGTTACCGCCAGAGCCATTATCATTGCTGCTACCGCCGCCGCCGCCACCGCCGCCGCTGCCAATGTTGATATCGCCAATGTTGATACCACCAACACCACCACCGACAACACCACCAACACCACCAATAACATCACCAATAATACCACCAATAATACCACCGCCACTACCGCCACCACCACCATCTCCTCCTCCGCCAGTGTTCCCAGTATCTCCGCTGGTACCGTCGTTTACACTAATGCTGCTAACGTTGCCATTGTCAGCACCCCTACTACTGACGTTGCCGTTATCACCAGTATTGCTATTGGTCGGAACACTGGCGCTTGC